ACATCAAGCGTGCGTGATTCAAGGGTGATCATAATCGACAATATATCTAACACTGCAATAGTTTGCATGTTTCCATTTCAATTCAGCAATACATATGACAGACAGCCTAGTCAAATGAACCGTTTGTTGGAGCGGTCCGGCAAGAATGAAGCGTATTTGTGGACGACTCACCTTCACTGGTAACAACAATATTTGGTGGATGATTATTCATTTGGTTGCAGTCATCTGATGGCCTGATACTAATTTCGAGTGATGTTCGTCCGTGTTGCGCAATAACTTCACAATCATGACAATTACTGCTGGACGGTGACGAGAATGGCTGACGAGCGTTTCTAATCAGTGCCACAAAAGAGTCGAATAAACGCACCACTGCACGTTTCAAATCAGTGAACAATTTCAACATTCACAGCTCAAGCGATCGGCATTTAGCCGTCGCCAATCGGATATCGTTTCGGGTTGACCAAATTCAGCGATCTTTCCTCTCAGCTGCTCTATCTTGTCACGCAGCCATCATCATATCAGCAGCACACAGTATCAATGAGCACGCACAACAAGTGTTGTTTCGAGCCAAAATTCACGCAGCCAATCCAAATCCACAAAAGTCTAACAACAATTGAAAACAATTTAGCAATTCTACACATACATTCGTCCACCACCACCACCAGCAGCAGCACCATTCATTTNCCATCAGTGTCGCTAATGAAAGAGACAGCAAATGAGGCGAATTAATTTTTCATGTCTACTCAAAGAACTGCTAATGTGCAGCAAAAACGACGATGTAGCATTAAGAAGTGAAGAGCAGAAAGCTAAATTCGGTTGGAAATGAAAATCTCGAGATTGATTAGAGCATTTTCAACGCAACGAAAACGCAATGATGGATTATACTTGAGAAAGTTGTCTCTTCACACTGATTAGGCTCACTAATGCTCTATGTGCATAATGCATAATTCGTAAGAATTATTTTCGATGTTATGCTATGTGTGAATAAAACCATCATCGCCAGCTTTTAATGTTTGATAGCAATAAATCCATTCCGAAACTGAATTATTTTCCCTACCGATCACACCCTCAAATATGGTCATATATTCTAGTAAAACGACCAAAATACTAACTTGCCACGAGATAATTTCCTTAAATTATGGAGGTGTTCTCACGAAAATTTGCGACAACTGTCGTCTTGGCTCAACTGGAAAGCCTCTCGTAATTTATTGATGTTTTGGAGAAGGAAAGCGATAAGCGAAATGATCATTTCAATTAATGTCAAACCGTGAAAAATGGGTGTAAGGACAGAAACGATTAATTATCGAGAATGTGGGAAACAAAACAAAAAGCAAAAAGTATGTGGTGACGAGCAAGAATGTACTAAATTAATCCGCCGTGTTCGTTTTAAAACGTCACCATTGAATTTTGTGGATTGAATTCTAATTTGTTGATTTTACTTGGAGACTATTATTCCAATAACGTTTATGAGGCAGACGAACAACGCTAACACCCATGGCTATCATTAAACAGCACCAATTCAAAGTCATCTTGCAGTGATTTTTTTTTTGGTAATCAATGATTGATTGTCGAAAGAATCGACCACAAAATAATCAATCATTGATAACACCCACCAAAGCGCCTCAGATAACTAACTGCTGACAACAGGTGAAAATTAATTGCGCTTTTTCTATTTGTAAAACACACAATCGCATTAAACATCGAATCTCGGTACACGTTACGTAACGATTCCATTGATAACCGCAATTTTTCCATACCTCAAGTCATTTAACAGTTCTCACGAGTACTAGCATCACAATGAGAACTAGCATTCGAAAAAACGCAATAGGATACCTAGATGACGATCATCATCAGACCATAGTTGTTCACCTTATTTAGGCGTGTGATCAATAATTATCCCCATAATCAACTTAGTCTAATGCCTGATATCACAATTTTCTTTGATGATTTGCTGAAGACTAAAACAATCACACGAATGGAGAAATTTTTCAGACAAAAACTAAAAATATGAGTGCTGCCAATCGCAATGAACGCTTTTGAGGGTGTTTTATTGGATGCGAAGAAGAAATATGAAATGATAAATGGATGGTGGACTATCAACTCCACTTGTTTTCAACACAAAGTTATTATTCTCTCATTGAATCAATTGCTCTGACAAGCAGAAATCGACCACTAACATCGAATGGCACAATAAAATTTATCATGTCTACTGAATGGCAGCAGAAAGAACTAACCACATAATCAAAATGAGCTGACATTTTTAAAACATTCACATTTTCTGTGCTACTCAAGTTAATTGAACAATATAACTCCATCATCTTACATACCGTCAACTAATCAAGAACGAACGTTCATGATTATTAGCACTCTATTGCGGGTTTTGAAAATTTCAACACAATGGCACAACTCAACAAGGACTAATCCTAGAATCAGCAACTTAGATCAGAACTTTTTATTACAGTTTAACTGATAACAGTGAACTAGAGAACTCTTTTTCCATTCTTTCGCTCCCACATTTCAGACACACTATAAATTCTCAGTGATAATGAGCAACAAAATGGTGGTGGACTCATTTGTGATCTAACTCAAAAGATAGTCAATTCTTGATCAATCACGAGGCTATTATTAAGGAGCACAGTGGAGAAACGGCGCAATTTTTGCAATGATTTAAACGGATCGTTATCGATCAGTATTGAGCAATGTTCGACATTAATCAATGACTGATCGATGAATATTCGCGAAGTTCAAGTTCTACGGAAATATAAGGCGAAAACAGCGAGTAGAAATCGTACAATATCAGTGCTGAATATCAGTGTATGATTTAAAATGATACACAAATTTGCTCGCAATAGAAGAATCAGATGGTTGATTGATTGTATGCAAAACCTGAATTGAACGATCAAACACATCAATAAGTTCAGCATCAGCAGCGGCAGCAACAGTCCCATTCAGTCAAACACCACAACAAACCCGTTCATAATTCCGAAACCAATCTTTTCGACGATAACAAAAGCAAATAAATACATTCAAATGAATGCATGATATGATGTAAACGCAAAAGTTATGCCATAAATAATCAATGATGGCTATTGGCTATAGCAAAACACGTTTTTTAGTATACTCTTCGTCATTCACGCCTAACATGTGAATAATCTCTCAGTTCGCTCGTTTAAAATAGTCAAATTAGTATTGGCCATGATATCAGTTGCGATTAGCATTCAATTATTGGCGGAAAGACTCAACAAGTGGGATGGATGAGATAAACCAAACATCAATGGATAATACTTACCTTGAACAGATGAGTAAACACACTGATCTCGTGATAGATTATTCTGTGGTGTTTGTTGCTGGTGAGGAGCAATAAAAAGATTCGATAATGGTAGTAGAGTATTAATTGAAGGAGACGACTGTGAAGAGGGATTGTGCTTATTTGTTGTCAACGATAGCAGAGATGAAAAATCACGTGTGCATGTGTCATGATCTTGTGTTGAAGCGATCGAAGAGGATGCTGCTGCTGCTGCTGGTGGCACATCTGTTTGATGTACTAAAGACTGTTTCGAGGCTGATTTCACGCGAATCGTTGGCGACGAGAGCGGTGATATGGCCGCATTCAGAACTGAAGTTGTTATGCTGGGCGAATGTGGCGTGAACGTGACAATTGTTGGTGTGAGCGGTCGTGATGATGGCTTATGTCGTGCATCGTTTTCGGCTAGGCTAGTTGGCGACGGTGCCGAATGTTTGCGTCCATTTGTACTATAGTTACATATTCAGAATGAGAAACTTTTCTCAGCGTTCAAATGGGAGATAGATTGATAATGTGAGATGCATTGTGCACTCGTAGAATTTCGATCTGACATATTGAAGTGAAAATGCACGAGCTTAAGCAGAACAACCATCATTGCTGAACTTTTCGGGCAGACCACAGCTATTCGCTTTGAAAAAAATGCTTTCATCTGTTTACTTGAAATCAAATATTTGTGAACGCTTAGCAATACGATCATTTTTGTGTTTACAGAACACACTTGTTTTTAATGTGTTGTTTGTTCGACTTGACCTATCAGAAGCGTAATGTAACGTGCACATTCACAATTGTATTCAATAGAGGACAAATGAGACAATTAATTGAAACAAACGCAAACTCCATTAATGAAATTGGAAACTGACTATGAAGTAAGCATATATTTGAAACCACTGAGTAATGTGTATGACATTTGCAGCATTCGCAAAAAAATTTCAAGAAGAGAGCAACTTGAAGCAATCTAATTACTAAAATGGTTATGGATTTTCAGACGTTTCTAGTTAAGTCGAACATTTCGAATTGGAATGGGCATGATGGATCCGAAGTGCTCAGTGGCTTACTGTCAACTGTGAAACGATACTGGATGAGACATTTACAAATAATTCGATTGGAAAATATGCACTGATGCCAGGAAAACTGTGCCAAATCAACGCTATCTGCCTTCATCACGCTAAATTCGTTGATGGTTTCATCAAAAAAATTTTTTTTTCAAAAATCTGCTCCCAAAAGACTCAAATGTCCTCCTAAGGAAGTTGTATTGAGAAAGCAATTTTTAGATTTGCACCCTATACGCTTTGCCGACCGATTTAATTGCGAATAAATATGAGCAGAAATGATACTGATTGATTGACAAAATTCAGTTTTGTTTCAACACAACTCACAGGAAATGAATTTTGCTTGAAAAAAAATTCTTTTTTGTAATCAAACCAATTCGCTATGGAAAGTGCAACATAATTGGAACCATCAGCTCAATGATTTGCAATAGCACTTCCGCTATACCGTATATTTCTTTATGATTACCAGATGATTTCTCATGCCCAGTGTCATCCTTCTAAGACAAGATTCGCATTCAAAATGAGTTTATCCATAAGACAAGCAAACAAATTTTTCCGGCTTGTGCATGTAAAATGCAATTTTTCTCAAAATACATAATCAGTTCCCGTGATTCTCAGTTATGTTGCACTCGAGATGTCGCGGCAAAATTCGCTTCTCAGTCAACACACCACAATCATGCATTTGTATCTTCTTCACAAGGGGTTTACGGAGATAACTGCAAATCAATTCTTTTGCAACAACGAAAATATAGAATTTTCAAGTGTCTAATTCACGTATTTGTTCACTCTGAATCCGAGTTTTTTGAATGCAACAACGCAGCACTATTATCTCATGGGAATTCTATTTGGTGCAATATAAAATTTAATATAAATCACAAAAGAATCAAAACTTCGGCTAATAGAATTCTTTTACGACGTGCTCACTGCTTTTATTGTCTTCGGAACTGCAACAACAGCACTAGTCGCAGCGTCAATCAATACAAATTACTCCAATTGTAGCAATTCCTTCCAACATTTTCACGTACTACTGCAAGTGATGATCAAAAAGTCGACTGAATGAGAAAATTTTCGCATACAAACCGATAGTTTTTGCGAAACGAAGTTGTTTATTACCCATAGATTTCAGTCGGTTTTGCGTTGGAGGAGTGAACAGTGAACGGTGAACACCGCCGGTGACTAATCATAAACGTGACCATCAAAACAACATTGAATGTGGTCGGTCGCATTGCTTCGCAAAGTCGAATATTTTCAAACGCAATGAGCCGAGGAGTGCCTTTCTGTGGAAAAATTTCAACAGAAAAACCATTCACACGGCAGATGCAAATTGAAATTATGAGGAGATGGATGGAAATAATGAGAGATTTGGGCAAAGAAAATTCAGAGGAAATGAGACGTGAAGAAATATGGAAAATGTGAAGTAATTTAGATGAGNACCGCTCATAGCAATTGTTTGGCTGTATTTTATCGCCGTATGTGGGAAATTTTGCTTGATATGACTGAATCATGCGTTCACAAATAATGAATTACGCTTCACGAAAGGTTATCTATTGAAAACGATTTGTCTCAGCTTACTGCTCATGCTCACATTTAAATTATTCACCGACCGCTGACGTCAATCGTTTCTAAATGAATGCATTTGGTTTCGAACCTTCGACGAGGAGATAGTGAACGATTTCGATCCACTAAATTGGCAAGAGCAGCCATCACAAATCTTGGAGTGTGTGAGATACGATACTGACTGCATGAAGGTGCAGGTGTTGAAGTGGCAGGTGACTGTGCTTGTTTTTTCAACGATGCACCAACATCGCTTCTAGAATCACCCCGATCAACGCCACTACCGCTTGAATCGGATCTTGTGGACGTGTTCGGATGGGTACAATCGAACTTCACACCTATTATAGGCTTCTTACATTTGTTAACGAAACGCTCTGAGCGACGACCGGCCAAGAAACGTTGCAGTAGTGGACGGGAATTGTTCGCATTCATCGTATCTCCGCTTGATAATGTCAAATCACCAGTAGCCTCTCTCATTTTGATCATTTATCCTCCATTCAACGTTGAACAAATCTTCTATTCAATCAATTCGTTTCGTTATTGAATTATTGATTCAATACGTTGATGCATTCAGAAGCAAATCGCTGGAATCATCATTCGGATCAGAACCTCAATAAGGTTACTCCTCATTATTAATAGTTTTCCATTGGTATTTCTTGTGCCCACTTCCACAATTACTGCATTCATAAATTCAACAAATATTTCGCTAGTGAAGAATACGGCGTACTGTCAAAAAGCTGCTGAGAGTGCTACAATACTGTTTCCAATGAAAATGACGCCGGTTAATACGCTTACTCCGAGAATAGAACAGTAATATGAGGAGTACAGTGAAAACAGTTCAATTCTGAATAGTCACATCAACTGAACAACTGAATTATGATGGCTAAACAATATCCTAGACGATGATTAAGCAGTAAGCAACTTTACAGTTTGTCGATAATAACGTGTTTAGTGAGGTGGATACTAAGATGACCATCTGCAAATAATGGTGGCTTTAAGCGATTATTATTTGTGAAGAGTGTTGACGATGCCAGCCGAAAGGGATTTAGAAAACAAAGAGTAAAAGCAAAAGCCGTCTAGTGATGGCTGTGCATGGTAGCATTAGCAGAACCAACCGTGCGTCGTCAGGCACAACTTTTCTTCGATACATCAGAATATGATTGTCACAAGCGTCGGTGATTGTAGCATCGATACTTTGACAGCTTATAACCAGCTATGGATGTGCGGCCGTTACAAGCTTGTTCAATAAGAACCAGTAGTAGTACCTCGATGCAAACAAAATATGTGTATGCTCTGATAAGTGCATATATGCCATGCTCTCCTCACACACAACTTCTACGCCATCGTTCTGTTCACATTCATGTTCCNTTCCATTCACAAATTCCTGTGTTTCTCCAAGTATACATCAGTCAGTCTCTGCATGCATGCTTTCATATCCGTCTTGATTACTTACTCTACGATGTGATAACACGATGCATTTACTCTTCTTAGAATGTAGATGCTCAATGCATCGTATTATGAACACGCATATTAACTCTTTCATTCAGTTTTTCATTCATTCATTACTTGCGTACATTCCGTTCGAACAAAAGTTCAAGTAGTTCATACAAAAGTTCATACATTCCATTCACACCTGTTCCCTATGATCATCAGTGATGATTAGGTCAGAATCAACTGACATAATTGACTCAGGGCATTTTTTGCGAAAATGAAATGGCAAGATACCACACACTTAAGTGGTAGAGTGTTAGCGATGCCGAGATTGCTGAATGTTCAAAAAAAAAACTCATCACTGGATGATGCACGAATCTGCACCAATTTTCGTCAACTGAATTCAGATGAATTATCAATGAGGATTTCAAGCTGAGTGTGAATTGAATATAAAATAATTTTGCACTCCTACTCCCCAGAAAACCAACAACACTCCTTGTTAAACTAAACTAACATGTTGCTTCCAATTTGACCCTAACAATCCTCATCACTACTTCAAATCTTCTCGAAAGTCAACGATTATGTTTTCCAGCAATCTTCCCATCTAAATTAATCGTCATTCATCTGCATTCTTTAAATCAGTTTCAAGCTTCGAACATTTGGTCCATTGAGCATAACNATTAATCGTCATTCATCTGCATTCTTTGAATCAGTTTCAAGCTTCGAACATTTGGTCCATTGAGCATAACGGGAATTTGCTCATGCACTGGATTCTGCAACAGCCCATTGGTACGACCAGATACAGAATATTAAACTAAGTAGTGCGCCCACGATGAAATTTAGTCATTAAAGCGAACTCAACAAGCAGTTTTTATCATGCTGAAACCATTTTCATGACGAGATCTGGCATTTTCACGATATAATTTTCATGATGAGTAAAAAAACAACCAGACTTTACGTAATCTATCATAAGAATAATTGTTGACATCTAGAAATGCGTAATATGATTTGAAAATGAATCTAACTGACTGCAGAGACAAATTATAGTTTGACTGCAAAAGAAAGAAATGGTACATTCACTGAAATGCAATTACGCCGTTCCCTATGCACTCCTTATCGACTCTAAAACATTTAAAAATCCCAACGATTATGTCACCAAATAGCACTCAAAAAAACGAAGGAGAGATGTAGCTGGCGGAACTCATCAATCTATTGCCTTCAATAACACTGGTTATTAAGATCAGCTATTAAAGCTGGCTGGTCATTTGAACATGAATTGAGACTCATAAAACACAAAATCAGCTGAGCGTCTCGATACTGCTTCACAACGTAGATGTCTAAATAAGAAACACCTCTCCGTCTCGAACTTAGCGTCCATCAATCGCACTGGACACCTTCCCAGGGCCTGCGATCGCGCTCGAGTCAAGACAATATATGGTCGCTGCCAAATAAGTTCTCTTTATCAAGAAACCACAACAACTCAATCACAAA